AGAAGAAGAAGAAGAAGAAGAAGAAGAAGAAGAAGAAGAAGAAGAAGAAGAAGTTATGAAAGAGGGAAATGAAAAAGAAATATTACCCAATCATAGTTAAAGTCTAAAGTATTCCCCACCAATAGAGACAGTGATAGAACCAGAATAAGGCACGAGCAATGGGGTGAATGGAATGTGGGCCACATCCTTTTCTGCGGCGATAAAATGCAAACAACTCATGTAATCTTGTAAAAGAGGTTGTTGATATTCAATGGGAAACAAAAAACACTCGTTTATTTTTCAAAAGGTCACTTCAGCAGTTTTCTATGAGGAGTCCTAATGGAATATCCTTCTACGCCAACGCGGCTTTGGAGAGTCTTTGGAATATTGCTATTCAGTGAAAAGGCCAACATCTCCAGTTGGAACGCTGTGGTAGAAAGTTAAGAATTCATTTCTCGTGGGCTGTTCAGACGTTGATGACAAGAGTCTCAAAGAAAAAAATCTTTATGCGATCCCTAGAGAATATATCTTCACCCTCCCCATCACTTCGGATTTCCAATGTGTTGAAAAGACTGCATGCAAATCTGACAGTCGGTTCAGACAAGCAAGGAACATCCCAAGGCGACCTCTTTTTTTTGTTCTTTCTTTCGTTACAGACGTGTCACTTTACAAAAGAAATCGAGATGTTCTACCTGATATCTTTACGAGAGAAGGCATTGGGGGCGTGCCAATGGTAGATGCCCTACTTAAGTGTCGGTGGGGCAGATCTTTGAAGCGCTTTCTTTACTTTCTCTGCGGATAGACAGAGAAAAATCATGTCAGTATGTTAGTGTTTTAGCGTCTATAAATGGCTGATAGTCCTGTATGCTTCCCAGGAAGTTAAGGTTGTTTCAGAAAGCTCTCAGGTCTGCTGGGGTGATAGTATAGATAATAAAGCGCATAGAGCGTGCTATGAAGCGCATAGAGCTTTTTGTTGAGTAGGGATTTGCGCTATACAAAATGTGATGCTATCTTTTATTATTAATATTATAAGCAACTCAGAAAATACCGGCAGGATAAACGATTCTTTTTGACAAATTAAATAACAGAAAAATAATATACCAGAAAGGTGGAAAACTAGCTCACAAACACACGCACGCACTCACATGCAATATATTGATGTAGGCTATCTATGATATAATATATCATATAATATTATTATACATGTTTCTACTAACTTGCACACCCACCACGATCCCCACCCACTCACTCGGGAAGACTCGGGCACATGCAAATACACGCACGTGATCGTGTTCAGGCCTGTGCAGAAAGAATGGAGAGAGAAAGATGTATGATGAAAGAAAGAAGTAAGAGTGAAAGAAGGGTGAGAGAAAGAAGTAAGAGAGAAAGAAGTGAAGAAGAACGGTGTATGAGAAAACTAAGCATTAGAGAAAGCAGTTTGAGAAAAAGAGGAAGGGGCAGGGACGTTCTGTGACTGCTAATGGACAAAGTGAGAACAAACATTCAATAAAAAAGAAATCAGGTTTGGGGGTGATAGCATTATTGTGCAAGTAGTAGGCTTTAAATATTATTGGAAATCTTCGGGAATACTCGAATTGTAGGGCTGAAAAGAGGTAAGGTAGCCCAGTGTTGTAAATGTGGACAATGTTAATGGCACAGTTTTCCGCAATTTCTTGAAAAGAAGTCAATTTAGAAATCTCATTAAGAGGGGGCAGATTTATGTCCTTCCCTGATGCACTTTGTGACCTGCGTAGTTATTAGTTATTTTTGATGAGATGTCACACAGAACACTTCAAACGTACATACTTCTGGGAGATAGTATGTTCGAATAATGTCTATTTAGGACATCTGGAGATACGCCCACACTCCAATAGTCGCAATAAGCGAGTTACCATACATAGTATTTCTCTAAACAAACACAACACTTAAACGTTTTGACAGCGTCAGAGGAGGAACCTAAAACCACAGCAATCGCAGACGACGTTCTCATCAATATTGTCTCAACGGCGCTTTCCAAATCTCTCTGTGACCTATATATTATATCTGCTCAGTCGCGAGACATTTGCTTCCTCTTCTCCCGACATTTCACTGCGCTCTCAACTGCCTTCTGCACAGACATAATCTTATTTAGAACCGCGCATAGACAATGAGACCCCTGTGGGGACATCCCCAGCATGAAAGGCCACTCGGAAACTACGTTAAGAGGTCAACAGTCTCACAGCTTCTGACAATGGCGATACATGATGGGTTCCACGGCGAAACGCACTACGCGCCAAATGTGGCCATTTCTGTGGTGGGACACTGTGCACTTCATAATCTTATGATAAAGAGAGTTAAGTGTCGTGAGAATTATTGTATATGAAACAAATGAAAATACACCTAATCCCTTGATGTCTAGTATGATTAAATTGCGTTTCGTTTATACGTTTGTTGTCAAAAAATAAGATGTATGTAGTATCTTTTTTGCTTCTCCTTTTTGTTCTTCAGTTTTGTCCGTAAATGGATATAATGTGTTTTGCTAGGAAGCCGTTCACATTCACTGCAACGAGAGCTTTTGTGCAGGTACTTAAGCGCAGTGGCAATAACTTTTCCTCAACGCAAATAAATTAGGCTTTCCAGGTCTGGCAATTAGTGTGGCTTTCCTTTATAAAGACTCGTAAAAAATCTGCTGTGAGAAAAAGAAAGGCTTTGAGATGGTTTGGGGCTGAGAAATGTTCACGAGCGCTATTTGCGTGGGATGGGGATATTTTATGTCACCAAACGTTGTCATTTGTTTGCTGTATTGTCGTGAACTCATTGTATGAGTTAGTGTCCTGTGCTTTTTGCCAAAACAGCATAAAAATGATGATAAATGCAAACGACCTTGTCGAAATATAAGTAATGGGGGAAATGGTTTCTTTCCTTTCCTTCTTTTCAATACCCGAAGAAAGAGTGAAGGAGAGAGAGGGGGCTGGAAAATCGAGAGAAAGGAGCGAGAGAAAGGGGAGAGAGAGGAGATAGAGAGTAGAGAGAGAGGAGAGATGGGAGAGAGAAGAGAGAGGAGAGAGATGAAAATGAAAAAAGGAGAGACATAAAGGGAGAGAGAGAGAGAGAGAGAGAGAGAGAGAAAGAGAGGGAGAGAGAAGTATTGGGGAGAGAGGTAAGAGAAAATAAGAGTGAATGGAATAAAAGAAATAAAAGCGAAAGAGAGACTCGTAATCGCGTGGATACTACCGACGGTACAAGAAAGAACAAAGCGAGGTAATCAGACAAGAAACAAAAATAGAAAGTAACGCAATGAAGGAAAAATCCCCAGTGAGGTAATTGCTTGCTGTGTGGATCCACTGGTTGTTCTCAATTATCTAAACAGACAACAACGCAGACAATTAAGCTGTAAAAGCGTATGGCAAAACGTGGCGTTGTAGAAAAGAGCAGACCACCCCGGGATTTTTTTCTCACTAATCTGGCAACTAACAAGTAGGGTTGTAATTACTGCTGGCGTCTGCCAGAACAATTAGTTCTCGGGTCCTTTTTGCTAGCTGCAGTTGGAGTTGGAGTACGTCAAAGATGTTTGCTGTCCCCCGTTCAGTTCATTATCTTCCCAGAGAGAAGAGCATACTATCTGATGTACTCGATGACCAGGAAGGTGCAGTCAGCATTGGAGGTAGAGCAATATTACAAAGCCACGTCTTGTCGATGACCATGACGGACTACCAAAGTGGGGGGGGGGGGGGGGGGGGGGGAGGAGG